CATGTACTCGTAATTCAGTACAAAAAAAGTCTTGGAGGGAGCACTTTTTATACGGAAATTTCTTGTTTCACAAATAACAAAACAAATGAACACAAAACATAGAATACAGTGACGTTGGAGAAGAATAGACCAAACAAGATCGGGATTGACATTTGAAATGCCCTCTCCAGACTCACGCGCGATTCGCGCGCGAAGCCGCGAACTACCCGCGATCCATGAGTGTGGATCCCATTCGCGTATTCTTCGCGGCTTCACGTCGCGTTCGCGCGTTGTTCCCGTTTGTTGTCGGTTTTTTGTCCCGCGACAAAGGGTTCGCAAAGCGCGAACATGACTAGGCTCCACATTCGCTGGTGGTTCAGTTGCCTCATAGCGAGTGTCGGGAGTGGTTGTGTTTTTTCCACTTATTTTCAATTGCTCTAGTTTTACTTATATATGCGTAATTATAAAATGCCAAAGCGCAAAGTAGCACTGCAGCAGCAGTAGCAATTTCACCATCCATACTCGTCAAGACCGCGAACTATACTGTGAAGCAGGCGCGAACATCTGCGAGTGTGGAACTGTAGGAAGAAATTTCGGGATTCGCACCGCGATCCGAGCCGCGATTTCACGCCGTGATTCGCGCGTGAGTCTGGAGAGGGTAAAATTAGTGTCTCATAATGTTAGTGATGGGAGAATAGATCTGCGACCAGTGGAATGTATTGGAACGGTTAAAACATATGAATTGAATCGTTTTTACGTTATCTCGACTGAAAGACTGGAATATCTGCTCTATTTCTGTATATATATTTTTTGTGGTATTGTTGCATAAAGTAGTTTTTTCACGAACTAGTTCCTAGAACTGAACGCAACTTAATGAAACGAGGTAGAAAGCACATCACTATTTCAAGTAATCCAAGAAGGGACAAATGTCATTTCATCACACTAGTGATGGGAGAATCGAAAGCCTGAGATTCGCTTTGCTTCTGTGGCTCAGAGATATAGTGTTTTCTTCTGATAAAACTAGCGCAGTTTTAGTGTTTAAAATACTCTACCATAGTTAATACCTTTGATTCTAAAGTTGCTCCCAAAACAACATGAAACAACTCTCATGTCGTGTTGCGTGCATTAATCTGTCAATGAAGCATATTTTTCGTTTCTTTGTCCTTTTCCGTGTTACTATGATGAATCGTCAAAAAAAAAAAAAGTAAACCACGAGCAAACAGCACGTCTGCATTCAATGATGGAAATCGAAGCAGAAGACAGTAGACAACACCACCAGCCAGTGAAAAACTAGTTCAAAATGCGTACCAAAAAAACATGAATCTATAAATTGGTTCTCTTATAAGAATTTGGAATATGCACCAGTCCAACACTGGCTTCACTGAAACAAAACGCGATTGAATGGCTTGGTAATATTTAACAGTTTAGACCACAAAAGGCTGATATCAGTAACTTCTATTTTGGCCACTTTCTCAGTTATAATGTCATCTCACTTCAAGTTGCCTCATATGTCAGAGATTTTCCACTATCCCCCGCGCCCCTGGAGCCTGTGGTTCTCGATACTTGCTTCCGAAAGATGGAATTCTTATTTGACTGTTCCTTAGTTCCTTTTGGTACCTGAGAAAAATCACTTTCCCCACTTGCAGTGTACTGAGTCATTCAGTTATTTTCGTGCAGCGATCAGTATAAATAAAATGTCCCATCACTATCCTAGTCGCGACTGAGTGACGTGTCATCTGGACAAAACAACATTGTTGCCAGACTTAGCGATTTTTGTATGATGTAGCGACTTTTTTTCTCCACTTGTCTGCTGGCGATTTCTAGCAACATTTCTGGCTACATTGGTAATTCCATTAAAGTTCGCCTTTTTTACACTTAAAGCCTTTTCAAGTGCCGAACGCAACTAGCCAACATAAAATGGAAGTAGGAAGCTTTTACTGTAGTCATTTTTTTGTACCGAATCAGCCGGGTCTGTATGGCAGGCACATCGCGTGGCGGCATCATGGAAGAAAACTCTCAGTAGCAAAGCCCGTTGATGTAGCGGTAGAAGAGAACTTGATCGCTGACGGCCGCCGGTGTGAAAGAGTACGAGACTGTTTATTAGAGAAGAGTCATCGATCAGTCGGGCAGCCCTTCTCTGGACAACATCGAGCATAAATAATATAGTCGAGGCGGCTGCACCCCAAACATGTGAGCCTTTTCTGGGCCTTGTATAGAGTGAGAAGGTCATGCGGAAGTACTTCTTAGCCCTAAACAAATAGCGTAGCTTTTTCCCAGCAGCTGCCGCTACTGACAAGATGTGTTCGTGCCAGATCAATTCCTCGGTGATCTGGACTACGTCCAGCCGAAATGAACGGCTCTTTGGCAGAACCCGGCCATCCATCGGAACCGTATCAGCTCTAGGACGCTTTTTGTTCGTCACGGAACAGTACTGTGTTTTGGAAGCATTACACTATACAAGATTGTTGCGTCCCCAAGCAATGATGACCTCCAGGTCTCTCGTCGCTAATCTTCTTTTTTCCAGCTCAGCTGCAGAGATCGGCTTGTCACTTTGAATTCCTGCATGTAGAGTGCTGTCATCAGAGAAGCTGTGGATGGGGTTGATCGTACAGGAAAGGAGGTCGTTGATATGCAAGAAGAACCGTGTCGGAGCCAAGGCCTATCCCTTGGGAACACCCTCGTTGACCTTGCGGGATGAAGAGGAGATCCCGTCAATCACGACGGATACCTTGCGGCCAGAGAGAAAGTCAGCCACCCATCTGCAAAGCCTTTCTGGGAGGTCATGAGATTGCATAAGAGGGCAGCGTGTCACAGCTGATTGAACGCTTTCGTGATATCAAGACCAACGACATAAGCCTTACCGTAATACTGGATTAGCTTACTCCACAATTGCGTGACGTAAGCTAGGAGGTTCCTTGTGGATCGCTGGTGTCGGAAACCATAATGCCTGACGCTAATCAAGCCGAGACGTTCGAGATAGTCCAGAAGCTCGCGATCCATGCACCTAGTAAATTTTCATGAAAAATCCGCTGTATGTAGGTATATAAGAGCTTTCTTATATTTGTTCATCAATTTGATGATGCATCACATCTGCCAAAGATGATCATAATCAATATAGTAAACTATGACGAAGGTTCACTGTATGTAAGAATTTTCAGATACTTCATTTGCAATTTGAAGATACAACAGACCATGATGGTGTTCACACTAATCAAATATTTAAGAAGTGATATCAGTCTAGCTCCAACTATCATAAGTACTATGTTTGTGTTCTTAGTTTCAATTCAAAACCAGAAAATGTAAAAGATTCATTTCGCATCCTTCACCACGGGACATGATCGTCGTTAGACTTGGCAACCCTGCGAGTGACAGATAGATATCCCCGCCAGTCAAAAAGGCAATCAAACAATAAACATTATTAGTTTTTATGATTTTTGTACTTATAAGACATTATTTGTGAGACATTTTTCATCATTTTTATCTATGTCCATAGTAATTGCATTATGTTTTTATTGCTTTGAAGAAATTCAACCTTTAATTTGCCGCATTCCCATTGGCTTTGCATATAACTGATTGTTAAATGAAATCAAAATACATGAAAGTTGTCCTGTTTTATATGTACAAAAGCATCATGTTGGAATCAAAAAGTGGTCTTGTTTATAATACAGTCGAATTTTCACGATTTTATTCAATATCTCAATAGAAATCACTGATATTCAGGGAGCTTTGACAGCTTCCGTCAAATTGCATTTCAATAAGATCTTTTCCTATTGGTCCAGACTGATTAACGATGGTGAAATTGGCCCTTAATCAATTTCTCCTAAAAATTTTGAGAACTAAATATAAGTTTAGCTGCACTACAACTGTCTAATGTAGAACTTTGCACTCTATCAGAAATTACTGATCTGAAAAATCATTTAAAATTTTTCTATAAGAAAACTTGCCTTTTATCTGACGTTTCACATCCGTTTGAACTAATTGAAAATTCTCAAAGTTCAGTAGTCACAACGCATCCTCAAATTCTAATTATCCCCATCCTAGACGAACATCAGTTCCCTGTTTACCATGTCTGCCCCATCCATAACAAAGACGCTGTAATTCTGATACCTCCGGCCGAATACTATGGAGATAATCATTGGTATCCCTAATGTAAACACACTGAGAAGAAAACTATCTGCCAATCAATGTCGTTAAGTAAATGCCAATTTCTAACTTTGGAATACTGTACCACAGCCATACCAGTCTTCCAGTAACCGATTATTCACCGCACAGAGAAAAATCTGATAATAATGAGTACAAACAAGCAAATCCAAAATTTGGAAAACTGTTTCAAAGAAGTTAAAAAAATCAGCCAGCCAGTGTTAATACAGTCAAATTGTGCAGTAACAATTGATGAAAAATAGTACACAACTACGAGCCAGAAAATCCAGATTCCAGACGACATCCCAGTGAAAATCAGCCCGAAATTTCAAATTGACTTGGACCAGATTGGGAAAATTTAAGACCCCAGCTGTCCGTTCTACAACCGATGCATCTCAAGTCAATCTTTATATCGTCCACATCTTGGACTGTTGCAACCCTGTACGTTATCTTGGTTACAACCATAATTTACTTTGTATCAAGAAAATGTAAATACACCCTGTTCTTCAAACCAAGAATTTCAACTTCAAGAAAACCAATCACGGAAGTTCGAGGACGAACTTCCAGCCTAAAGTGGGATTAGTTATGTGTCCATACCGGACGTGTGTATCATATATCAATCAGCGCAATGAACGGAGCTTCACCTTGGTAGAATTTCCAACATAGACATTTTTCATTTTGTTATCTTGTTAATTCATATTTGTACTCCTGCTTGTAACAGAATGACTTGTCTCTAAAATAAACTTTTTTAAAAAGTAATTTTCAGGTTTCGAGAATTTAACTCGTAACATAACCGTCCCACCTGACGCAGTCGGGTAAAACCTTTGTATTTAGAGAAATGTGATGTCGAGAAAATTATGCAAAAACAAAAAGTCACTCACCTAGCTATCACATTAAACCCCTTCTGCATATCTCCCCAGTTACTGATACAACTTTTTCCTTCGCCAATATCCAAAGTGCTGAGTATTTTAATATGAGCTGAAAAATCGTCACACTGTCTGCTAGATACATTTTGACGTTCAACGTTGTCTTCAGCCAGTTGTTTCAATTTTCCAATGACATTTACCAGAGTACGAATGTTTTGTGAATTGAATGCTTGTTGAGAATGGTTTGGAGGTAGAAGATTCTAGAAAAAAATAATAGCACTACTAAAAAAAGGCACAAGTATCCCAAAAGCTTTATCATGGACTATAATAAAGAAACCCTCAATTATAAAGAACTTGATTAGTATAGCACTTCTAATACTAACTGAGAAACATAAAAAACCGAGTCGTGAATAACAGTATATTTATTATTTAAAAAAGGAATTGAATTTGCACGGTGTATAGTATCCGAGTAAACTTTCGTATGTCCTGGTATCTTTCCTATTCGCCAACCATGTAAAACCTTAGAGCTGGTGACATTGTATATATAATAATATAATTTTTTTTAATAGTTATTTTTTTAAAGTTACAAAATATTTTTTTTCTTTTATAAGTCATTGAAATATATTGTTTCGACATCATATTAACAAGATTAGTATCAAGTAATATGACATTAAACTATTAAACTAATAGTTATTTATTTTTATTATGTTATTGTATTGACAAAAAACCGAAAGCTATAATCTATTTTTCCCGTGTATGATACACAATTTCTTTCTGTAACGGGAAAAATGACAATTTGATATTGAAAAATTATATTATTACAATATTTAAGTCAGAAAATTATCGATGTGAAATTTGTATTTTGAAATTAGTAGGCTATGTTGTACTTATAGCGACAATTAGACCTGTGTTGCTAAGGAAGCTTTTAAAGCAATCAAATAGCTGTCAATTTAATTTTGTGATTTGATTTAAAAATTGCAAACTTAGTGGTTGTTTACAAGTTATTTTTAATACTATAAAGCAAAAAATGTCTGATTTTGAGATTTCTTTGACTCCACCGGAATTAGCCGAAGTAGTCAAACTAGCGTCACAAAAATTAATGCCAGCTAAATCGTTTATACAATATCCGGGAAAAAAAACCTCATTTTTTCCAAGGAAAAAAAGTAGTTTCATAAAAAGTGACATTTTGTTACCTGTCAACAGAGATAAAATGTCAAACTTTTTTCCAGTCACAAAAAACTAATATTGATAACAAAAATATTTAGCTGAAACATAAATGTTCGGACGAACCATTTCAATAGCTCGTTACGTCTCTCTTTGCCTTAATAACAGCATTAATTCTCGCCTGCGTGGTTTTAACAAGGTTTTCTCAGTCTTACGCCTTAAAAGAATCCCATATATTTTGTAATTTTACTCGTAAATCAGAAATGTTTTGTTGTGGATAATTTTTTAACTGCTGCTGCATTTTGTGCCATATAGTTTCGATAATACTTAAATCAGGACTACTGGAAGGCCAGTCAAGGACGGAAATATTATCCTGCAACCATTTTTTCGTGGTTTTGGCCGTATGACATGACGCCCCATCTTGTTTAAAAATAAAGTTTCTATCAGGTGATAAAATTGGAATTGACACTAGCAAATTGGTTTCAAGAATATTTTGATATTTAGCTGCGCTTACAGTTCCGTCTATGAAATGAAGTTTTTCAACACCAAAAGCAGATATGCTTCCCCATACCATTCAACCTGATGGAATTTTTACTTTTCTCTTTAGGCAGTCTTTATGAAACGCTTCATTTTCGTTTGTTATAACCCGGGATCGGTGGCCACCCACACAAACATCAAATTTCGATTCATCGCTAAAAATGATCGTTTTTGTGTCTTTTGAGTCCATATTGGCCGTTCCTTAGCCGACGCTAATCTCCTTTTCTTATGTTTTTCCATGAGCAACGGCTTTTATTTTACCTAAAGCAAAGGTTTTTCTGAATACATATGCCATATGTCCCTTAAATGGAACCGTACCTTATAAAAATGTAAACCAAAGTTATGAATCCACCGACCTCACGTTTCTCGTAAAACATTTCTTGCTGTTTCTTCATTCCATTTTGCTGTTGTCCCTTACAGTACCTCCTACCAGGTTTACAAATTCGAACAAGATATCTGTGCATTCTACGACTGTGTCTCCATACTTTTTACAATATCTGCCACCGACGACTTTGCGACATTTATTTGTTTAGCAATAACCCGAAAACTTTTTCCTTGATGAAACAATTTTATGATTAAAACTCTGCGCCGTTTTTTGCTTTATCACGCAACATTTTAAAGCAAATTGATTCTTAATTCAAAACGTCAAATTATTAACACTTTTTTTGTTTCCATGGCCTGCTATTATTTTCTTTTTAAGATTGTGTCCGAACATTTATGTGTCCACAAAATGTTGCGTTGATATCAATATTAGTTTCATTTTATACTTCAATATCATATTACTTGAAAACAGTTTTGTTAATATGATGCGCAAACAATATATTTCTTTGTTTTATGAAAGAAAAACAATTAATTTTTAACCCTATAAAAATAAACAAACTTTTAGATAAAGTTAGATAATGTCCGAACATTTTTGTGTGTAGATATTACTCCAAACTTTCTGAATAAAATAATTGTCATTGATACCCAAAATACGAAATTCACATCCCCTACAATCCCAAATTTTTAAACCATTGTCACGGAAAAATAATACAGCGAGCCCAAGGACGGCAACGTCGGAAGACTAGACACTGAATCATACACACAAATTGTACAGGACAAAAAAATGTAAATAGAATAGAATAAATTGATCGTTCTTACGGAGCGGGTCGTTTAAAAACTCTCGAACATCGTCGTGTTTGAGAGTCGTAATATTTCAGAAGTGGGATGAACGTACTAAAAATATTGATTTGTTGTTACCGGTTAATTAGAAGTTATTGTGTTTAGACTTCGTGCAAAATGAGTGACACTCAAGTGACGGTGACAATGAACTAACTAACTGGACGTTATGTGTGTGCCTCAACGAAAAAACAGAAAATCAGTAAACTGTAAGTCTCTCCGAAGTTAATAAGCTGGTTGCAGAAAAAAATATGCTGGTAAAAAAATGTGGACTATTGGGGAAAAATGCAGTTTCCCGTATAATTGACGGATTACCCATACCACTACAAGCTAACGCCAAAGCAGGGAACTATGAGTCACCAGACGAGTTGTTCTACGGGTTTCTTAGCAAAGTAGAGAGTTTTCGCGAGTGTCGACAGCTAAGAGAACGGGGCACCACAGAAAATGTTGGTGGACAACCTAGTACATCTGGGCAACTGACCTTCAGGTGCATCTTACGCAAGAAGGTGGGACATAAAGCCCGACATTGTCTACTTAGAAGATTCAATCAGGTGGCTAGCAGCAGCACTCCAAGGTGCAGTGACCAAGGTATCCGTTGTCCTCGTTGCGGGAAGAAGGGGCACACAGAGCAGCTGTGCTGGTCCAGAGTTAAGCCGACATGTTCGAGTTGCGGTAAAATGGGACATAAGGACCAGGACTGTTGGAAAAGATCGAGTATGACATCTACCTGCACCATCTACGGAAAAAGGGGACACCAACTGCTGGACTAAGGAACGAGGAAAGCCTAAGAATGTCAGAATTTTGCAAAGGCAAGTGTCCAATTCTTTTTATAATATAGCCATGGAAATTAATGGTCAAAATTTCAATGGGTATATTGATACGGGTAGTCAATTGAATGTTGCAAATATTAAGGTGGCCAATAAATTAAATTTAAAATTATATTCAACTGACATATTACTAAGGAATTTCAGTGGCTCCCACATAGTGCCAGAAGGAACCAGTCAGGTAGAGATACCTATTGGCAAGGTTTTTATGACGAGTACGTCTTTGGTATTTGTGAATGTTGATATGTCCTCAGTTGATGTTATTATTGGAAAACCGATTATAAATAGCAAAAATGTGACTTTGAATATCACAAGTGGTCTTATGCAATTAAAACCAGCTGCAGATAATTCGTTAGAAATGTTTAGTTTCCTAGATAATATAGAAAAATTGCCTATTGAAGTTTTCGAACATGTACATATTCCTGCTCTAAGTTGTAAGAGAATATTGACTGCTTTAGATAATATCCAAGATATTGTTATTATAAGTGGCCAGCTGTTTACTTATTAATCAATTGGGGTAATTGACCTATATGTTGGGAAAAGGGGCAAATTTTAATAAGAGGGTTCAACCTAAGTTCTTGGACTAAATTTCCAATCATAGAAGAAGGCAATGAACTGAGCACTCTATCGTTACAAATGGGCAACATAAATTGTGGGGATTTGTTAGAAAATGAAATATAGTAAGTTGTATGACCTTTTACGTAGTTTCACTAAATGTTTTGCAACCGATACACCCGAGTTAGGCAATAGTAACTCAGTAGAATTGAAAATAGATTTGTTATCTGACAGACCAATCGTTCATGGGCACTACCGCTTGTCTGAATTTGAGAGATGGGTCGTCCGAGATAAAATTAGTGACCTCTTGGAAGGGGGTATTATCAAAGAATCGTCATATAATTACTCCAGTCCAATTGTTCTTGTAAAAAAATGGGGATTATCGTTTAAGTGTTGACTACAGGAAATTAAATTCTATCATGGTGAAAAATAATTACCCACTGCCACACATAGAAGATTTGATATCCAGGCTACAAAATAAGAAGTATTTTTGCAGTTTAGATATGGCCCAGGGATATTATCAAGTGCCTGTGGTATCTGATTCTATAAATAAAACTGCCATTGTAACGCCTGACGGTCAGTATGAATTTTTGAGAATAACTTTTGGGATCGCTAATGCACCCGGTACATTTCAAAAAATGGTAAACAATATATTGGAAAATTTAAGATATGATACGGTCGCTGTTTATCTCGATGACATCTTAATCCCGTCAAACACTGTGGAACAGGGATTGCAAATTTTACAACCTGTTGTTGAATTATTGGCTAAGGCCAAGTGCTCATTTTTACAGACACAAATCGATTTACTTGGTTATGAGATTTCGGAACTAGGAATCAGTCCTGGTGATCGAAAAGTTAGAGCAGTAGCAGACTCCAGGATTCAACAAATATACATGAGATAATGCAGTTTTTGGGACTAAGTTCCTATTTTCAGAAATTTATAAGAGATCATGCAAGAATTGTCGCTCCACTTACAGCACTGTTACGTTAGTAAAATTAAGTATATACTTATAAATAAACCC